GATCAGACTATTTGAAAAAGTATTGTTTTCTTTATTTGAACAGACCATGAAGCTTGGCTTGATGCCTTCTTTAGCGATGAATATTCCTTTGATTTTTCCTTGAAAGTTTGACTATTCAGGAAAATCTTTTTGATTTAGTTTGCTTGAACTTATCAAGTTGAATAAGCTTGAAACTTGACAGTCTTTGTCATCAGACTAGTAAAACAGGTGCTTCTTCACTGCGGTTGTTTTTATGGCTTATTGAGTGAAGAGAGTTTTCAGCGACTCGGCCATATTTGGATTTGTTGAGTCTGATCTTTAGGACCTGTTTGAGTCTCAGATTTAGACTGCTAGGAGTTTATGCTTTTTCAACTTAATAAGCTTGAGCTTATAAAGTCGAGTCTCTTTTTTTATATCACAAGGTTTTGGAACTTATGGAGTTGAGAATGTTTTGGCTTGACCGCATATCCATTTTTTGAGTGTAGTTTATCTCTTGGATTTAACTTTAATCCATCAATTTATTGAGAAAGTCACATGGATTTGGATCATTTGAACTTGCCAACTGAATGAGTTTGGGAACTAGACAACTCTCATCATCATTCTAATAAAGCGAAAAGCAATGGGCAAAACAAGTTATCCCAAAAGTTCATTCAAAGCTCGATGTTAACCTAAGAGAATTCAATCATCGACAAGTCTGATAAATCACCATGCACAGGACCGAAGATCTCTTGTCACTGACTCAACAAAAGACCAAAGGCTAAATCATTGACATGCATCCTTCAATCAGTCCACAAAAGCACAAAGCTAAAATCGAAGGTCAATTCCTTCAACAAGTCCACGAAAGCACAAACTAGGACCGAAGGTATGCTCATTCACCTGACAAGTCCGTGGAGGCAATTCAGGTCAATTCTCTTTTATTGAGGCCGTTTTTATGGCATGTTGAGTAAGATGAGCTTACTCATTCACTACGATCGTTTTTGTGGTTTGTTGAGTGAAACGGGCTGTCAGCGATTCGACCATATTTTGGGCTTGTTGAGTTCGACCATTTTGCCTTTGCCCCACATGAGCCTTAGAAGTGAGCTATGGTAGAACTTGTCTTTTCAACTTAACTTGTTAAAGCATGCAAATCTTGAAGACTTCTCAGTTAAACCTTCAAGTTACTTGGTTAACCAAAGAGAAAAATGATTGACTTTTAAATTTTATCACTCATATTTTGCTTGATAGCAAAAATCTTAAGCAAATATTTGGAGATCTCAGAATTAAAGCACGATGTCAACCCAAAAGGAATGAGATCTCGATGTTGGCATGATGTCAACCTTTATCACTGAGGATTTCAACCATTAATTTATTGTCAATCTCAAAAGAGAAGCCCATTATCCCATTAACACATTTGGGGATTTCGACATCAGACACGATATCAATCCAAATAAACTAAAATAATGCCTCATGTCTTATC